GAGAGAGAGAGAGAGAGAGAGAGAGAGAGAGAGAGAGAGAAAGCCTTGGGCAAAAAAGAGAGAGCGCCTTGGACACGGGCGTCGGCTGCCAGAGAGAGAGAGAGAGAGAGAGAGAGAGAGAGAGAGAGAGAGAGAGAGAGAGAGAGAGAGAGAGAGAGCCTGTGCGAGAAATCCCGCCGTTTACCTCGTGGCGGTCGATGGACCTTCGCCCCCAGCAACGAGATTGCGATGACAGGCGAAACGGGAATGCTGTCTACGCGACGCTGCGACGACGTGGATAGCGTCTGCCGGTGGAAAGGCATGGAGTCGACGAGCGGGGGAGGTACCGTTTTCGGTACATGTCCGTGCGGGGGTGGGTGTGTCGTTGGAGCCGGTTCGGGGGCTTGTACAGCGAAGGGCGATTGGGGACAGGCCGGTTCCTCGATGCGATGACGTCAAAGTGCCGTTTTTTCGAACGGGACTGGTCGCAAAGTCCCAAAACACTGGAGATTCCCATAAAATCGCAATTCGGGACACCCGCGGGGGGCTGCCGTGCCACACAGCGGACCGGACCATGGACAAACCAGCCTACCCAAACGGACACAAGAAAAAAAAAACAAAACAAAAAAAAACGGGCCCCTTCTTTTCCGCAGCAGGGTACGGGCCGACCTCTCTTGCAAATTCGTCCGTTTTCCTAACTTCTTTTTCGGCGCCGTTCATTCCCTGAGCGCCACGACGACAATCGTTTCTACTCGCGTCCTGAGTTCACGGAGCCGCCTATGACTTCGGAACAGTGTGGGATCCGCGATATTTCAATTTTTTACTTACCGTAAGTAGTGTCGGATGAGACCCTAATCTTCCTTTCTCTGTATCGTTCCAATTTTAACGGATGTTCCGAAGGACGACGTGACAAATTACGGATGGCCCAACCCATGTGGCTGGACAGCAGATAAGCGTCACTGTTAGTAAAGAGATGACAAGTTCGAGTCCACACAGACTCACAAGCATTCGATCATGTTAGGTGCTACCCACTTCAAAAAGGGAAAATTTTAATATGCCCCTGAAAGTCCGATTTACTTGCCGCGTGACCCTCTGGAGGCCGGCTTGCCCTGTCACGGCCCTCAGTACGTTGAGGAGGAGGATGAACGCCTACTAGCTGACGTGTGTGGATCCCTCACACTCTTTGATACTTAACAGTAATCTGCACCCCGCATACACCTCCTTCTCATGAACTAGAGACAGTGATCCGGCAAGACAATCCAAGTCCCGCATTGATCTAATCCCCATCTCTAAAGACTTGCAAGGGGCTCTACGCCTAGCCCACACCCCCGGTCTCTATCACAAAACATGCGAGATCGACACCTTATCAGGGACCGGGTTTCTACAAGCGGAATACCTCATTGCCCAATGGCAATCCGTTCAGGGAGTTCATCCGTGATGTGTGGCAATATTTGGCAAGACCAAAAACTTTTTTTTTTTTTTAATAAAATGGTTCAACAATGGACTATTTTTCTGGGTAAGAAAATGCAAGCAGTATTCTAAGATGATTGCAGCACAATGGCACAAGCAGGAAATGGGAATACACAATCAACTCCACACCCTAACACCTACGAGAGCAACTCTTCCGTTGTGCACAATACAGATGGCAAGGCCTCAAAATTTGGGAAAGCTAAGCACGGAAGGTACTGTGGACACACATTTCTTCGGTCAAGTCTGAGCACGAACAAAGTGAACAGTTATTGAAGCCTTATATGACCTGACCCAAGATGAGAAAGTGCTGGCAACATCCACCGCGCACTGCGTTCAAGTACACAGGACCATCTTTCAAGTTTTGTTCACATCCCACGTGTTAGACTCCCAAAACGAGGCCAGAGAAAGTCTAAGCACGAACGAAGTGAACAGTTATTGAAGCCTTATATGACCCGACCCAAGATGAGAAAGTGCTGGCAACATCCACCGCGCACTGCGTTCAAGTACACAGGACCATCTTTCAAGTTTTCTTCACATCCCACGTGTTAGACTACCAAGACGAGGCCAGAGAAAGGAACATTGCGGATATCCTCAGATCTAGGCGAAGGGTCCCTCGCCAAGGGAAATGAAAAGTCTTGAGGCCCTATGACGAACTGTT